TGATACAGCTTATTAAATCCAAGTGATGTAAGAAATACTCAGTATTATTAAGATCTAATACTTTTGTTTTCTTATAAGATGAATAAGATTTAATATTATTCATAAAATCTTTGCCTTGTTTCATATTTTTGGGTAAAGATGATGCTTCTAGATTTGAATGCTTATTAAAAAATGAAATAATAGCATTCCCAGCAGCATTATTAAGCTTATATTTAGTAACCAAAACTATTAAATTGGCATAAGCTTTATTAGGAAATTTAGAATATTTTTTATTCAACTTATCATCATCTGAAGAGTTTCAAATTTCTTCGGTAAAAGCTGAATCATTTAAAAGTTAATTAGAAAATTTCGATATTCCTGCAAATTATTAGCAGGATCTAATTCGAAGCTATTCGAATTTTCATTATTTGTTTCTAATTCAAATGACATATTGGCTAAACTATTAGAAAGATCATCTGTATTAGTTACACCTGAAGGACCAGCATTAATATTATCTAATTTCATATTTGAACTAATTTCATTAACTTTAATTTCTTTCGAAAAGTTGCAAAACTTGATATCTTTAAATGAAATTTTATTTGCAGATTCATCACAATTAATTTCATTTTTTTTAATAACATTATATTGCTTTTGTTTTAGCTTAGATAGTTTCGTATAGTTGCGAATTTGAGCAGGTTTTTTCACAACAATAGGTTTAACTTCAGCAGTATTAACACATGTATTTATATGTTAAGTTAATCTATTGCAGTTTGCAAAGGTACGTAAGCAGAATATATATTTGAATTCAGACAATTTTTAGAGCTAAGTTTTTAAATTTAAAAAGTTTAGAAAATTTCAAGTTCTGATGATTTAAGAATGTAAAAAAAAAATTCAAGCAAAAAATTTTAATAATAAGAGCGAAGAATACATTTTAATATATTTATATCCGTGAAATTATGAACACTTTTCCTAATGATCATTCGACACCAAAAACAGCAGAAAAACAAGAGCCTTTATTGCAATAAAATACAGTAGTATACACTACAACAAATGCAATAACAAACAAAAAAAGACTGTGAAAAGTAGCTAACTAGCAACAAGCCAGTAGTAATCAACTTAACAAGTAGAAAGAGGAAAAAGCTACATTATAAGAGTAACCGCTACACGTTGATACTTAAGTGAGATAATTTTTAGCTGAACACAAACAGCAACACATAGTCACAGGGAGTAAGAAGGGTTAGCAAAGCTTCAAAACACAACAGTATTAGAGTATAAAAGGAGCAGCTTAAGGCTTTATCTTGTCGTAGTGAAAAACTTCCATTGTATCGACAACATTAGAGAAAATAGCGTTAACCCTGTATTGCAAATCATTAGTGTAACACAACTGCATTACGCGAAGCCACACAACTATATACAAGTTAAGACATAGATATAACACGTAGAATCACGTGTAAAATACGTAAAAACACGTACTTTCGAACACCAAGCCTAGCAATAAAATATCATGTGTAAAACACTTTAAGCAACCAGGTGCAATACTAATCATGTGAAGCAAGAGCATAAGAGATGACAGAGTTAGAAAAATATAAGAACTTCTTTAAGAAGTCAGAAGAAGAGAAACTAGCAATATATAGTGGGCTGCACTCAATGGTATTAAAAGAGAACAGACATATTGCAAAGTATCTAAACACAGAAAATACTTGTCTAATAGCAACTATACACAATGTGCTACATCTATACAACTGGGCTCGACAAAAAGAAATTAGAGAGCAAGAAATATCCCTCGAGGAAAAAGTTCTCCTTGGATACAACACTACTCTAGAAAACTCACAGAATTTGAATACTAGTAGAGACTCCAAAGCAATTCCAACGGTGGTGAGCATTACAAATCCCAAGATAGTAGAATCTCAACACATTGAACCTGTATTAGCCAAAGATCATAGTATTACACGTAAAAGAAACCTTTCAGAATATAAAACGAATAAACATATAGCCGAAAGCAATCTCAAGATTAAAATAAATGTCTTAGTCAACAGTGAGTGTGGCACTATGGACTATGGGCTCGAAGAGAAAATTGCTAAAGAGTTATTTAACAGCAAAGAGCCAGAAGCCAAAAGGTATAACAAAAGATCTAAAAGCTATGAGAGTATTTATAATTCAGTATAGGCGCCAAAAGAGAAACTTGGCACCAAAAAGAATACAATTAAGTTACAATATCTGTTCACAATATGGGACATCCCGAAAGAAATGAACAAGAATGAAATCAAAAACTATTTAGAATTTTTTGGCTTAGCGACAATTATGGCCTGGCAATATAGCTTCACTACGAAAGCAGCATATATCAAAATAGTGTGCAATATAGAAAGCCAAGAGAGCGCTTTAAGAGAAAGTTGGTCGGTTCAGTTAAATTAGAGTAGGACATACAAAACAACACCAGGCAAATTCAACCATACTGAGCTTGAAGATAGAAACAGATTTAAAAGCATAATTTATAATGTTTCAAAAACAGCATATGACAGTTTACTCCTACGCCAACTAAAAAATTACAAGGTATAGGCAGTATATATTCTTGAAAATCGGCATGGTAATCGCAACTAAAAGGCATACATATACTTTAAGATATGACACAAGCCCAAGGTGCAGCAGGCCTGTATTATTTTAAAACTAGACTTGAATGGCGAATTCTGGCAGAGAGGTATGAAAGAGGAAGCTATACAAATAACCGGCTCTACAAAGAAAACTCTGCAGCAGGACCCATTAACCAAAAAAAGAGAAAAGAAAGAGAAGAAGCAGTAGGTTCTAGCATCATGGAAGCCAAAAGGAAAAGAGAAGAAGTAGGCTTACTAGGCGACAAAGAAAGAAAGTCCAAAGTTAATAATTCTTTCAGACAAAGAATTAGTGGAAATACAGTAAAAATGGCAGAGTGCAATAGCCAATTGGTAAAGAAAGATCATGAGAAAGAGAACCGGCCACCCAAAACCCAAAAGAAAACAAAACCTATGGACAATTCAGACCCCAATAGCAACAACTCAATTCACAACATGTTGTCAAAAATTTTGGATAGACTTGACAAGCTCGAAAATTAAAAGGTGCCCTTAGTAGACGGCTCCTTAGTGTATTGCTCTTAAGGGTGCCAAAGGTGCATTAAATAATTACTCTGGACCTCAAAAGGATAGAGAAAAGGAGCCAATAGAAGAAGGTCCAGAGAGGAGGCTCCCCAACGTAATAGAGGAGAAAGCTGCAACATATGAACTATTCGGGGTATTAAATATTGGGTTTCATAATATTAATGGGATAAAAAACAACAAAAACAAGCTAAAGGCAGTAATAGATTTTGCAGAAGAAAAGAAATTAGACATTTTGGGTTTAGGAGAAACCAATATCAATAACATAGAAGGTACTTTTGCAACAAGAGACACAAAGATATATAAAAGTTTTTGGGCAAGCTCTAAAGAGGGCAAGAAAAAAGGATCAGGCCTAGGGGTGCTGATCAAGAAATATTGGGAACAATATATTACATATATATTAAGGAGCAATCCATACTTTTTAAAGCTCATTCTGGACTTTAAAGGCCTGATAATAATCATAATCTTTCTATATGTAGCCCCAAACGACAAAACAAGACAAGAAAAGATTTTGCATATGCTCAGAGATACTTTAGAAAGACCCAACAGAAAGCCGCAGCGTTTTATAATTCTGGGAGATCTTAATGTCATTACACCAGACTGAGCAGAGAGTGAAGTGGAAAGTACAAGTTCTAAGTCCAAGTTAAAACAACAAATTGTAGCGCTTCTAAAAGAAAAGAATATGTACGATGTGCAAGAATTGGCTCGCACCCCAACCTGGTCAAACAGTAAAGCAGAAACTAGAATAGACTACATATAGGTATCAGATAGGTGGAAAAGCAGTATAATTAGTACCAAGGTTGATGATATGTACCTCTGCACTATGAGTGACTACAAATTGATAAGAGTAAGTATTGCTACAGAACTTGAAATAAGAAAAACAGGAGCAGCTAAGAGAAGACGAGAAAACAGAAAAAGAGTCAACTTAGATTTAAGTAAAGCCTCTAAAGAGGATTGGATTCAGTATAGAAAGAGTCTTGAAAAGAAGATAAAAGACCGCTAGAACAAGTGCAAACCCAAAAGCATAGATGAGGAATGGGATATAATCAAAGAATATATCAGAACAATGGCAAACACAAGTCTTCTGAAAAAAGAAAAATCACTAAAAATCCTAAAAATTAGCAGAGAAAGTAACAAAGTATGAGCACTAAGACTGGTAGTAAAAGCATGTAACAAAGGCCATCGTAAAGCGAAGAAAGGACCACTACAAGACATAGTCAAAGACAACATACTTAGTGCATTAGAGAAGGTTGATGCCTTGGTTGGTAATGACATAGAAGATAAAACAGACATATTAAGCCCAGAGGGTCTTAAAAACTGGGCAAAAGTTTTGCACAAAGAGTGGCATAAAAGAATTAGAAGTATTGAAGAAGCAGAAATTAGAGAAATTATAGAAAAAAGGCACAGTATAATTGTCACCAACCAATGGAAAATGCTTAATAGCCTCTTAGACCAACTAAATAGAAGAATCCAAATAGATAGAGTAGTGAAAAAAACAGAAGAAGAAGCAGAACTAATATATGAGCCAGAAGATGTATTAAAGGAGGTCAAAGAGCATTTTAAAAAGCAATTCCGTACAAGAAACACGGTACAGTTAGAGGCCATGCCAACAAGATGGAAAAACCAATATGCCCTTCGAGAAAATATTGATGAGTCTTGGTATAAAATACAACAAATAAGATTAGTCTAACTGAATGGGAGCAGGCTCTGGAGCAGGTCAAGACCAAGTCAGCTCTAGGGAGAACAGGTATCATATACCCACTAATAAGGAACACTAGCTCCACTACAAGAAAGTTCTTCCTCGACTTTGCTTCCAGGTGTATAGAAGAAGGTACTATGCCAAAAAAGTGGAAACTAGGTATCTTGCACCCAATACCCAAGATGGAAGACTGGTGTTACAACCTAAACAATATGCGGCCAATCTTATTGTTAGAATCATTTCGAAAACCAGTTGTAAGAGTGATCACAAATAGGCTAGCAAAAATTCTAAGCGAAAAAGAGGTATTAAAAGGCAGAAACTTCGCAGGCCTCTCAGGAGAGGGCATAGCAGCTCCAGTGCATCTTATTAACTGCTTAGTAGAAGAAGCGAAAGAAAAGAAAAAAGAAATATAGCTCTTATTCCAGGATATGAAGAAGGCATTCGACTCCGTGGGGCTGAAAATGCTTATAATCGCATTGCAAAGAATTAAAATCCCAGAGCCATTAACACATTTCATCATTAACCTCTTCGATAACCGTGAAATAGAAGTCTTAACAAGCCTAGAAACCACTCAAAGATTTGTAGCAGGGGATGAGATCAATCAAGGAGAAGTTATCTCTCCTCTTGTATGGAGAATATTCTACGACCCTCTGCTAACAGAAATTCAAGAGAACAGAAAGCGCAGTTACGAGCTTGAGGTAAACTGGCCAAGTGATCTGAGTAAAAATCACATGCAGCGGCATAGCCTAAGAATCCCTGTAATTGCATACGCTGATGACACAACTTTTGTAGCATCGAGCAAGGAAGAACTAAAAGAAACAATCAGTATAGCGCAAGAGTTTTACAAAATAAATGATATTGAAATCAACAGCAAGAAATTGGAGCTGCTTATAATAGATGAGAAAAAAAATAAAGGAACCTAGATATATAAAATTTGGTACACCGAGGGCAAAAGTATTCAAAAAGAAGGCAAGCGAGCTAACAAGATTTCTTGGTATTTGGCTATCCAAAAAGCATGATCAGTCACATATTAGAAGTATTGCAAAGAAAGAAATACAAGTGATTAGCATAGCAATCTATAAGAAGAACACCTCACAGCACAACTCATCTATATCAACAATAGAGTACTCATCCCAAAATTGGAGTACCATCTACAACATTGTATAATTCCAAGAGAGCAATGCGACAAACTTCAAAGCCCCATTCTAAAGATAATTAAAAATAAGTCAGGCTTAGCCAGCACCACGGCAAACGCAATCTTGGCACATAAAAACATAGTTGGCCTTAAAACATTGTAGCAAAACCAGATGGCCTATCATATCACAGAGCTAAGAAAACGTATAAACAAAAATAATGAAATTGGCAAAGCCACGTGGATCAGAATTCAGCAAGCTCAGTTAGATTGTAAAAGCACTCAGTGTATAACAAGTTTAGACGCAGTAAGACTAAAGAAGGTTAAGCTCAAACAAAACCTTGCATATAAAATCCTGAGTGAAGCAAAAAACATAAATATAAGCATATGATTCAGAGAAAAAAAAGAAAACTTAAAGCTTTCAGAAGCTGAAGCAGAAATCATAAATTTTCTAGACGAGAAAATGATGAAAGGCTTCTTACAAGAAAAAGAAACAAGTATACTGGTGTTAGAGCAGATACTTGACAATACAGGGCAAAAAATGCTTACTTGGGGCCAGATCAAAAAATGTAAGAGGCAAAAAGCAAGGGGGAAGACTTCATCATGGGTTAAAAAGCTGAAGGAAAAAATAATTGAAAACCCAATCAGCAGAGAAATTAAAGCAGAGTTTAAAACCAAAACATCCAATCGCCTGTCACCCAAAATAGAGTTATCACCAATAAGCAACGATAAAAGAAAAAAAGAATGAGTACTTCTCAAGGCTGAAAACAAGATACTAATAGGGAAAATTGCAAAGAAAAAGGGAAAGAAAACCATCTTAGTAGATCATTAGGAACATATAGAAGACCTGCAAAAAATAATAGTCAAATTAGTTAAATGCAGAGGCTGCGAATTTGGCTTAATGAAGCTATCAGGTGATGAAATTTCTTGCAAGAGAAGGTTAAAGAAAAACAAGATGCAGGGAATTCCTCCAAAAATTGTATGAAAGGTATCGACACAGAACCAGATATGGAAATTAGTCACTCCACTTAGTAGTATTGTAGATACATCACAGCGATTTGAAGAAAGCCTAATTGCAACAAGAGGCATACAAGAATCTTCAGTTGCGAACATACCCATTTATCCACTAGAAGAAGAGATCATAAATCAAGCTTTTGAAGACATACAGGCCATAAAGGAGATTAAAGAAGTAGCATCTCAGCTAAGAGGAAGAAGGCGAATCACATTCTATACTGACGGCTTGTTATTTAACCCAGTAGAAGAACCAGAGAAAAGGAAAATGGGTCTGGGTTGGGTTGCTATTTTAGCATGCTGTTCCAAAACGCACAAAAATACAATAGCCAGATTTCAGAGTGTGATCACAAACTGGCCGTTATCCATGAGGGCCGAGTTAGGTGCAATATAGATAGCCCTTCTAGCAGCTCTATACAAGTTGGCAGTAGAGATACTTACTGACAGTACAGCCACAATAAAGACAATTCAAGCAAGCCTAAGCCCAAAAAGGACATACGATATAGTTAAAAAGAAAAACCAGTGCCTTCTGAAGCAGATTCAACACACAGTCAAGTTAAAAGAGCTGCAAATTAGATTAGGAAAAGTTAAAGCACATAGTGGAATAAAAAAAAACGATGAAACAGACATCCTTGTAAAAGAAGGTGCTTTGCACTCTACATCTATCTCCCCGAGATGGCCATGGAACAAACGATCAATTTCTGAACTTAAGTAGAAAAGCCTAAGAGTAGATGATGCGATAAGAAGCTTCATTACACAACTGACCGCAGTCAGTATTGACACAGAGTGAAAAAATCTAAAGAGTATAAACAAGTAGGTAGGAATAGAGCAAGACTTAAATGTAATCGATTGGAGGAAGGTCTGAAACAACATAGGTCAATTTAAAGGTAGCAACTGCAGAAGCTCCGAAGTAAACAAGAAGTGGGTGTTCAAAATCAAGTACCTGAACGATCTTCTTCCAACGATGCAAACTCTACACCAAAGAAGAGCAGATATCTACTCAGATGACAAATGCAAAATATGCTAGAAATCAAAAACTGAAATACAAGATCACT